CCCAAACCGCCAACTCCACCCCCCACCCACACACCGCACACCCACCCACACCCTTCCCCGTAAATCTTTCCCATTCTGTGACAACTGATGTTTGTTTTAAGCGGTGATAGCTGTATTCAGATCATGGTTGCTGTAAATACTGATGAATTGGTGCGTTCTGCCAGTCAATTCACATACAGATTTCGACAGAATAAATTTAAATTTCAAGTAATTTCAGTAGGCATATAAGAACCCTATTAGAAAATATGCAATGAACACATAGTGTAATAATAGTTACATACACCCAGCCATCTGTCCACGGCTGTATACCGTTGGGAAAAGGCGTGCACTTTACACAAGGCATCATCGTGAACAAGCATATTTTCGATGTGTTCTTCAGAAGATTGTTTGTAAAGCTTGCCTGCATGGTCCTCTGTCGTCTTCCTGTCTCTTGAGGACTTGTGAGTCCGGAGGTCTTCGTGGCGTTCCCTCGCCTCGGAATCCTTAATGTAGTCCTTTGTCCCACCTAGTCAGCCTCACCTCAAGGTGACGATGGCTTCCTGGGTCCTAAAAGTGAAGGTAAAGCATATTTCACCTCATTGATACTTAATACACAGATTATGAATGCGAAAAACATTTGCCGGATCAAACTTAACACATTTACACAATCCCCTCGTTACCCTGTTTCGAAAATGTTTGCTCCCTAAAATATTCAACCTGGTTGGAAGTTAATGGTTTGAATAGGACTTGGTGCACAGATCCCAAGCGAGGTTCATTTGCTCGCTTACGATAAAACGTGCTGCTGGAAAAGACAATGAGGAAACCAGACAACTTACATAACATACCCCTTCGTTATATCTTGACATAATTCTATGGAGCAGACATTAGGACATAATTACTTATGGTTTATGAATTTTGTGAAGCGAATATAATTTTGGTTTTATTATTATTATAATCTATTTACATAGCGTCGAGTTCCAGCTAGGCTGCTCACAGGCTCTTTGATTTTCCCTCGATCATAGGATGTCAGTCTCAACGGCACTTCGTATTATCAATCTCAGCTCCCTGGGATCACACAACTCTTGCTGCCACAAGGCTCCGCATAACAAACAGCTGATAAGATACAGGTGTCATGATTTCTAAATTTAGAATTACACGTTTGACCAATAGTGACACAGACGTATTGCTGATTCAATGAAAATGCCAAAAACAAACACAATTTAGTTCAACATTCATCCGTGGGTGGGAAATTGTATTTTTGTGTGTCCCTCGCCGCTCGTCGTACAATGTAAGTATTCAGACAACTGAGTGAGTTGTATTTGACGCCGCTTTTGACAGTTTGTCAGTTGTTCAAGCCATCTCACTGACTGGTGTATTGATGTTTGAGACTGGCATATTAGGTCAAATACAACAATTTGCTCCAATACCTCTATTTCAGATTTGCAAAAATGCTAATAACAAATAACGTTCAAGACTGGGTTTAAATAGTATACGTAGTAACGAAGCTGCAAAACAATATTTTGACAATAACCAACAGCCAACATATAAGGAAACAGTGCAACAGACGAATGCAAATAATGAAACTGCATGCTAAGTGCAATAAAACTCATCAATGCATCGTGGTTTGGTTACGAATGTTAAGAAAGACCACGTCAGATCTTTCGTGCACACCCGTGAAGATCTGCGTTCGAAGACCCCGTGAAGATCTGGTCGTTAGAGTCGTTAGAGGCGACTAAAGGGGTCGGATGGTCAGGCTCGCTGACTTGGTTGACACATGTAATCGTATCCCAATTGCGTATACCGATGCTCATGCTGTTGATCACTGGAATGTCTGGTTCAATTATTTACAGACTCCCGCCATACAGTTGGATTTTTGCTGAGTTGTGGTTAAACAAAAGGTGAGTGAGTGAGTTTAGTTGTACGCTGCACTCAGCAATATTCCAGCGATATAGTGGCGGTCTTTAAATAATCGATCGAGTCAGGACCAGACAATTCAGTGATCAACAGCATGAGCATCGATCTGCGCAAATGGGGAACCGATGTGTCAACCAAGTCAGCGAGCCTGACCACCCGATCCCGTTAGTCGCCTCTTACGACAAGCATGAGTTACTGAAGGCCAATTCTAACCCGGATCTTCACGGGTAAACAATAGCAGTATAAGCATCTAGCGTCTTTCACACCACAACATGCGACAACACCACCACTACTACCTGAGACACCACCACAACCACCATATGGGACACCACCACCACTACACCAGAGCTCTTCTACACCAATACACGGCACAACACATCCACAACTACTGGACGAAAAAACCTCTTAACGCTAAGGTGACCGTAACTCCTATACCTTAACATAGCCTTACGACTGTCGTAACGCTAAGGTTGTTTTGTATAACGGCATCCGGCTCGAAGACATCAATAATGCTTATGTTGTTTTAAAGGCATTACATAGGATTATCAAATGTTCATAGATCTTTAAAAGAATAAAAACCATGTCAGATAGCAACTAAAGTGTTAGTCTTTCTTTTGTTTCTAATGACATTGTCATAATCATTTCAAATAATCATCGCATATATTTGTGTCACCATCCTCGGTTACCGAACTTTAAGCCTACACAATACATTCGCGTTTTTCGAAAAGGGTTTAAGTGGGTAAACCTATAAAGGGATGCGAATCAACGTTGCTGTTTGTTTCCGTCTACATTTTTTTTTTCTTAGGCTATGTTGTGAGTGAAGAAGTAAAAGGTTTCACTTTAACGGACCAGTTATCTTTACATGAACACAATTCAATTCAAGATACATCTGTGATGTTTAATTTGTTTTTGACAGCCCGGGCCACGTCGAACCCAACACTCGTGATACGGAGACTATGTAGATAAAATATAGGAAAGAGGGACTCACATTAAGCGTCATGTTTGTCTTCAGATTTTACGTTTTGAGATGCTATAAAATTGTATGTTTATATATATTCTGGGGATTTCAATAAAATCAAGGATACATCTGCGAGGTTTAAGTTGCTTTTGACAGCCTGGCCAAGTCGGACTAAACAGAGCCTATACACTTTTACAGATGATATACTCATGGAAACAAATAAGGGGACACATGAAAGCAAACGTGTCCCTATATTCTTTTCCAGGTTTCTTCGCGTGCTTTGTATTCGAGTATCGAATCCGGGTACTCGGCGTGACGAGCGAACGCTTTAATCACTCGGCTATCCCACCGCCCCCTTGTCATGAGTGAGTGAGTATGGTTTTACGCCGCTTTTAGCAATATTCCAGCAATATCACGGCGGGGGACACCAGAAATGGGCTTCACACATTGTACCCATGTGGGGAATCGAACCCGGGTCTTCAGCGTGACGAGCGAACGCTTTAACCACTAGGCTAACCCTAGGCTTAAACTTTACGTATTTGCCATGCAAAGAAATATCGGATTATTTTGTTCCTTGGCTACAGATGTTTACCCATGCATGGTATGTGTGTTTACAAAATAAATTAATTGTTTTCGATTTAATTTACGGGAGAAGACTTAATCTCGTTATGGAATACACATGATTTGTTTGAGAATATCAGAGACAATTTACCCACACGCGCGCGCAATATTACCGTTTTAATTGATCTGCTTTTCGTGCTAACCTGCTAAACAGAACACTAACAAGACCACTTATCCCAATCTGTGATATGTTTGGAACACGATAACAATAATAACACGAATATCACATGGATTTTACGTAGCATACTGTTTTCGTCCATACATGGTAGTTTTGCGAAGCTGTATTGATTACCGACATACAGCTTGCTTACTTCCATATCAAGCTGTGGCAGTCACGCTCCTTATACAGTCAACAACAATATGAGGGGTCGTATATCAACTAAAGTAGACTTTATTTACCGTTATACTCAAAGTTGTATTTTCAAAACCTTGCAGCTTCTTAATGTTTCTGAAACTATTTATTTTAAAACAAAAACTACCTGTGTAATCAATAACGTACTTTATCGACATAGAAAGGCGATACTTGGAAATGCCTTACTTTATCGAAAACAAAATCACATTTGAGGGAGTAGCTGCATTTATCGATTGCCAAGTACCAAGGGAAGTAACCCTGACATCGTTTCACAACCACGTGTGGGCGCAAATAGGCCTCTTACTGGTCCACGTAGCCCTAAAACAATAAAACCAACCAACCAACCACAACCACGCTGTGTCAGTTGCTATTTATAGGGGTTTGTGTCACAGCCTTCCACCATTACAGTCAGCGCAGAGCATTATATTGAACTTTACTATTAATGCATCCACTCTACAAAATCTGATTTTTAAAGTTCTATCAATCAGGGCACTCCACTAGGAATGCGATTAAACGATCACTTACACATCCAATCAATTGTCCCTTCATACAATATTATATTTGAACATATATATCGTGTCTGGGATACATGTTTCCAAATACGAACAAAGAAAACGGGCGTTGTTTTATACCAGTTATGTGATGCAACATAATCATTTACAACAATATCAATTTATAAGAAACATGCAAACAGATTTTACATTTAAATGAAGTGTTCCTCAAGTTATTTTTGCCAATATCGAAGTGAATCTAATGTATTTCCCATTCATATCACTAACAAAATATTTATAATGATGTCTAAATGAATTCCAGTTTATACGAGGTGATGCTCATTTATTGATTCATGGAAATATTGACAAATTATAACAAAGAATTGATAATATACAGACGATTTTCTGAATATTCCATGTCTACATGTAAACCCTGTACAAGATCTATCATCGGTTTGTGTGACTAACGTTGTTGTTGTTGTGACAATATAGGTCAGGGTGATGTTTACCTACATATATAGTTTCTCACTGTCTACACACTGTAGGCGATATGCGACGCCCTGCTACCTGGGACAAATCATATCTATTTTTAGCTCAGGGTTCACCTGTTTTCTTGGAAGTTGGGCGACTTCTATATTTATCGGGGATTTCCTTCCATACAAGGAGAGAAATATGAATAATCGATATGAGAATTCCAGGAAATAGGTCAGTACCCGGGCATAAATACCCAGCAGTTAATAGTGGAGGAATCAAAGACATTGAGAACTGGAAACAGTCAAGTTACTACAGGTAGGTGACATGTAACGTTATTTCTTATACACTGCAATTAGGATTAATGGACTAGGAATATTTGTAGCAAAAGCTTTTATCACTCGGCGGCGATTTTCTCACCCGAGGAGCACCCAGTACTTCTGACAGAGGCACCACTCAACCCCAAGTCTAACAGAGAGAAGATGGTGCAGGTAGGGGGCACGTTGTTACAATGACCAGACTATGGGGAGGTCTCACTGTTAAACATATAATGTCATCAACCGCAGGTTCACTTTATTGAGATTTCAGGGTATACTTCTAACTTCTAAGTCAAATACTCTAAGATTAATAGACACTATTCATGATGTTCACGTCCTTACAAAACAGCAGTTACCGCACATCGGCTGCATGAAGTGGTGTTCATGATGTCACCCACTAGTTTGTCAGGTCCAGATAAATCACATTTCTCCTTGATGCAGCTTGAAAATTCAATTACAATTGGGGATTGTGAAAATGGTTGTCGGTAAGACAATGAGGCTGTTTTCATGACGTAACCTGTTTTCTTAAGGATGCAATAATCGCACCTTTTTATGTAACAATTGACATTTAACATATCTCAATCGTGTCACTGATATTATTGTTTCCTTATTACAGATCATGTATGAAACATTCAACACTCCAGCCTTCTATGTGGGTATCCAGGCGGTGCTGTCGTTATACGCTTCGGGGAGAACCACTGGCGTCGTACTCGACATGTATTTCTGTCAGTGACACGACACTTATTGTATAACTTGATTTGTGTTAATCTCAGGGTACGCCCTGCCCCATGCTGTCCGGAGAATGGACCTGGCTGGCCGCCACCTGACCTCCTACCTCAGCCGGATTCTGCACGAGAGAGGATACAACTTTACTACATCATGTGAGTGGTCATTCATATCTTGTAATGGTCCACACGTGTCTGCCATCACCTCTTAACCATTTAAACGTATATTTGTCACAGATTTTCTTGACCTCACCAACAGTCTTTGGCCGCCTTTTTAGCATACCTATGAAGGCCGCATAACACCTAAAAATGCTTGGTCAGCCTTGATAAGAGATTTATTTGGGGCATATATTGATTTATAAGTAAGGTCATAAGATCCCTTATCATCACAGATATTCTATATTGTTAGTTGTCAATAAATATTATATGATTACAGTCATTTTTTCGTGTATCGTGTTTGTGACAACTTGAAATGTTGTGTTTGCAGCTGAGATGGAGAGACATCAAGGAGAAGCTCTGCTATGTTGCCATGGACTTCGAGTCAGAGATGGTGTCAGCTGCACAGTCCAGCACCATTGAAAAAGGATACGAGCTGCCGGACGGGTCTGTGATAACTATCGGCAATGAGAGGTTCCGAGCTCCAGAGTGTCTGTTCCAGCCAAGCTTCATGGGTAAGTGTTACAGGATGGTAAATAATCCAGTTCTAACGGAACTTGTGTTTTTTAAACATTTATCGTCATCAGCACAGACGATGACCGATATTGTTCATTAATAAACATGTATACTTGATGCTGGTCCTTGATACATATAACAATCTGTAGTATATAATCACAACTCCTTCGCTCATACATGTGTTCTCCCTCCAGGTATGGAGAGTACAGGCATCCACGAGATGGTCAACAGCTCGGTGGTAAACTGTGACATTGACATCAGGAAGGATCTGTACAGCAACGTGGTTCTGTCAGGGGGATCAACAATGTATCCAGGTGAGCTTACGTTCCCGGTATCAGTCACATTATCAGTGGCCGTATACGGCATTGGCATATACACATACTTACTCACTCCATTTTGATTGATTGCATATTGAGTCTGGGCTCATTGAAACACAATGTAGCATAACCCCAATGACGAATTAAACGCTTCTTACTGACTCCTCTTTCAGCTGTTCTGTATGGGCAAATGTAAAAGTGCATGACTGTAGTTTGCAGTCGATTTATGTATGTCCCATTTTGTACTGTATGGCAAGTAAATAACGCCCTTTTGCGTCTTTACAGGTCTGGCAGACCGAATGGTGAAGGAACTGAGCTCCATCGTGCCATCTTCAATCAAGGTCAAGGTTATATCTCCACCTGAACGGAAGTACTCGGTGTGGATCGGCGCCTCCATCTTGGCCTCGCTTTCAACCTTTCAACAAATGTGGATCTCCAAGCAGGAGTATGATGAATGTGGACCAAGCATTGTTCACAAGAAGTGTTTCTGAGTGTCATGTTGTGACAGGCAGTTGGCATTGACGAAGCCTGCTATAAATCTTTGACTGGTGGGGACCAGGGCGGAACAGGTCTTTAAGACGCTCCAAAAGTGCTGAGATGTGCTGGGATGAAACGAATGAATTTGTGGGTTTGACCATCATAGTTGTAAACGTCTTGAAGAATGGAAATGATGCGTTCCTAAATATCTGCAACTGCAACCTCAATGACTGGACTGTGATACCAATATAATAGATGATTGTATGTTCCGCTGGTTTAGGCTACAATGCAATATGAATGTAGATCCTTAATGTGTCACGTTTAGTGTGTCATTCCCAATATAAGCTGATGTTACTGAACATTGTGTATATATACATATTATGTGTATATGTTGATACACCCTGATTCTATCTTAATGTACTGACGTTCAAAAGAAAGTACACACCTGATTCTTTGTAAAATATTTTCTTAAAACGGCAATTATACTGAACAAGTGTTTTGTTTCTGCCTTGTCACAAACATTGTACAAGTGTTTCCAAAACACCACAGATATTGTACCCAATTACAACATTGCTTGCAAAATATTTATGTTTTTTTTTTTCGGAATAGTCCCAAAACACCAAGTGTGTACTTTCTTATGCACGTCAGAATATACTATATTTATTAAGCAATGTGTAGAGGATATCACATATACATCAATCCATGTGTACATGTCACAAATCGCTGGCTTGATTGACACATGTCATCGTAACCCAATTGCGCAGATAGATGCTCATGCTGTTGATCACTGGATTGTCTGGTCCAAACTCGATTATTTACAGACCGTCGCCATATAGCTGGAATATTGCTGAGTGCGGCGTAAACTTAAACTCACATAATTATCACAAATAATTTCATCTGTACATTTGATACATCAACCTATAATGTATACACGCTATGTGTAGCCTAAATAAATGTTCATCTATGTTCATTGTACTGTAATATTAAACAGATTATTGTGCGGCCGGACGCCAACACGCAGGGTTATTCCAAAGTTAACGTTGTACCTGAAAGCATCGTATAATAGACAACATCCCACACTCTCTCACTGATAAGCAACACGGAAATAATTGGAAAGGCCAAGGGAAATATGAACCGAAAAGCATGCATCCATATACACGAAGCATAAATAATATCCTAACCTATCAGGCGTATTTTACTTTCATTTTATTATGATAAATACACTGTACTCCACAGATGTTCGTACAGTTTAAGGCCCAGGTTCGAATGGCACGACACGTAAAAGAAGAAGAAAATGCGTCTATTTGCGTGTTACATGTTGGTGCTCGCATTCAAAACACTTGATGCCATAAAATACATGCAATGTCTGTCGTTTAGGTGTATCAGACTCTAATTTGATAAAAAAACCACGTAATTAAAATATATAATATGTCATGAAGTAGAGAACCCATAATCATAGCCCCGAACATACCACTCTGTACACAAAAACAGAACTCTATATTTATTTCCTGGAGGCGTGCAATGGAACATTAGGTGCGATAACATCATTAATTAATATTAATGACGGAACGGATGCATCAATTATACGGCTGGTTTCATTCAAAAGTCTACATAGATGTTCCCCTCTATGTATATATATCGAGGAAATGTGAAACAGATATTGATCTAACTGACCTTTAACGCCATATCCAAGTCAAATGGCAAGAACTATGAATGTTATGAATACTGATACTGATCACTGATGTTCCATAACCCACATTTAAAGTATTTGACTGATGTCATGTACGTATGAACTATATCTCAGCCCGATAAATGGGCAGTTAACTAGGCAAATCTCACGTTACATTAAACAGAATACCATGACGATGACGAGCTGTGACAACATGAACATACAAGCCAAATGTACGGTAATATCCGGGGGAACTACCTGTATTGATTCTACTTAGAGGGGTATCCTTTTAAGCGAATTAGTTGCCTTTATCTCACCTGAGACCTGTCATGGGTAAACAAGCACCGAAACAATCACAAACACACACAATACGACAACCTGAAAGAAATGAAAATATGAAGTGGAAATACACTTTGCAACAACATCAAGATATGCATAGGTTTAGTGATATTCACACCCAACTTGCTCCACATCGTCTCTGGGATCTGTGTGTATGGTATGTGATTGCATGTCCTCCTGTATATGCGCAGGTAAAGCTCGGCATATTACCTGTAACATCGGGGCAGTATCTGCCATGTGACCACGAGTGTGAGGACATTGTTAAGCATCAATTCCTTTACTGTGAAAGCCTCATTGAACACAGAAAGGTACTTAGCAAGTCTTTATTTGATAGTCTTAGCCTTGACACCTATCTCAGGCTCGAGGCCACTGCTAGTGATGAAGGTAAGGTTCTGACATATCTCGATGCCATTATAGATGTGGTTCATGATGTGACACGTGGCAGCTGGGCAACATTCATGAATATCGTGGTTAAAAATGTCAGCCCATGAAACTTAAGGTGAATATGATATTTGTGAAAATATGTCGTACACCATGTAAATACAGTGTTTCATGTTTCTCTTCGTTTCTGAAAACCCTGTTTCCCTGTCATACATATGTATCTATTGTCATTGCCACTGACAAGTAATGTAATATAACGACATGGCACATATTCTCCAAATCATAGGGGAAATAAGGAGTGTTCATTCATTCATTCATTCATTAATTCTTTCTGTTATGAGGATGTGTTTTTGTTAATCAAAATCGAGAAGCGATTCGATCATTGTGTTGTGGAATAGATTTGGCTGGATTTTTCCAGAACTGTATGGCAGGTATATAAGCGGTGGCTGTTGAGATGTACGGGCGGATTACTACATTGGATGTACGTTCGTCTGTCTGCTGACATCGACGTTTCAAAACCCCTCGATGCATTGTCTACATTGATCTGACCTACTACTCGTCTACATTGGTCTTTCAACAGCTGTCAACAATCTTCAATCCGTGCATCTGTTTACCAGAAATATACAATTCATCTTAACATAAAAACGGTGGGTTTATAATCAGCGAAGAATATCAAGTGTGGTGTTACAGATTAGTTGAGGGCTACGTCAGCTGCATCACCAGCCGCTGTGTCCTAACATGGCTGGGTAACCAACAGAAAACAACGTCGTGTTGATTCTGCTGTAAAGGTGGTACTGTCATGAGGTAATCTTGATATGGGTCTGGATCCTCTGGTTGTACCAACTGCCAGGGAGAAGGAGATGCAAACTGAGTGGGGACTATATTTTGGAGAATAATATAGGCAGCAGGAAAGGCAGGTTGTCATAAATCAGAATCTTGGAGCAAACATGGGGTAATCTTGATAAGGGTCTGGATCCAACGACAGTGGTTCTTGTTGTATCAACCTTCAGGGGGGAGATGCAAACTCAGTGTGAGCTATATGTTTTAATGTTGGCAGAATAATATTGGCAGCGGGAAAGGCAGGTTGTATTATTCAAAGTAGGACCTTGTCATGAATCAGATTCTTGGCGCAAACATATTGTTGCAGCCACTGGAAATTACTTCAAAGGCTGCAAGACAATAAACATTCCGGGTTTCTAAGGAGCATCATTTGCAGAAGTGGATATATTGGACTTTTTTCAGGCGGCTAACGAATCTTTCAAGTTCGTAAATGGATAACGCCTGTGAAAGAATTTCATCTCCACACCATACAGAAGGATAATGGACGGAGAGCACGGATCGACAGGATATTGAAATCTGTTGTCAGCCCTCATGCACATCGCATGGTCCCTCCTGAAGTACTAGGCTATTACAGGGTAAAGTTTGAAGTAATGTTCGTGATGCTCCTCAACCATATTCAGCCTAAGTAAGAAGGATTTCACCATCAGCTATCCAGGTCATTAATAAATGGTGATGTAACATCTAGAAGTTGGTGAGTTAAAATTTATATTGGCATCGACAATATTTCAGGCATATTTCGACGAAACCAAGTTTATGGACGCCCAGTGTAAAGTTATATTCTGGCCACATTTTCTACTGGTTTGTATGTTATCCCACGTTGGTATTATTTCCCTTTGCATTTCACACAATATCACATCCGGTTTCGTTCGACGCTCGAGGTTTGTTTGTATCCTTAGATTCGGGAATTCTGTATTTAGTAATATGTACATAGATTTGATTTGAGTTTATTGGGTGATGTTGTGCGGCAGCTGGATTAGGGTAACGGATAAGAGAGACTGGCGTGTTACAGAGGGCTGTACCGATTGTGTGTGCGTGTGCGTGCGTGCATGTGTGCATGCGTGCATGCGCGCTATTGTCAGTTGAGTCTGTCGATTGTATTGCAGACTTATATACGGCGAATAAATGTATGGATGCTTTCACCACGTCTTCCCGTGTAATTTCTATAAAAGGGTAAAATGCTTGTGTGCAGTCTACAGTCAAACAGTCAACAGTCAGCCTAAACCAAACACTCCAGAAACCATGTTTGAAAATACAGGGTGCTTTGAAATGCCTTGAGCCAGGTGACCGCTCCTGACCACACGAAAGTGTCCCCTTCGGACGAGCGTAAGTTGCGCGGGACCAATTCTGATCAAAGCTTCTAAAACTGTATTTATTGTTTCTGAAACGGGAGCCAGGACGTATGTTCTTGGTCTAAGGCGCCCTGTGCGGGGACAATGATTAACATTTTATGTCTGCGGAAGCAAAGTGTCAGAAGTCCGCAAATCACAGACTATGAATATCAAGTTTATCACCTTATAGTTCAATTATATGAAGTATATCATTTACCCTATACGTTGTGGACGACACATTGTCAGTCTGATTACACAAACACAGTACATTAAAGCAATCAGAGCTGACTTACCTGCTACTGGAATATTGAAAACCAATAGAAATACTGACTTATAACGAATCGCAGAAGTGTGAAAATCACGAAAGTAACACCGAATGCAAAATGTGTTGAAGACGTTAATGACACAATGAAAACATAATTGGGGGCTTTTTAGCTTTTATTCTCCTGAAAACGATTGAGCACATTTAATCATAACTTAGAACTCCCTCTCCCATAGTTTCAAATAAATGCTAATTTACAATTAATACATCTAATGCCAGAGAGGAAAGAAGAGAAAGGGAGACTACTGCCAACTAGCAGAACAAGCATGGTGTTTTGTTCACTGATGAGTCGAGGTTTCATCTTGACAGCTCAGACAGCAGGGCTAGGATGTACAGACGGCGAGGTGAACGGTATGCTGACGCGTGCGTTGTTCAACGTCGACAGTTTGGTGGCGACCGCGTTATGGTATGGGGAATAATCACAACTCATGTTCAGACACAATTTGTCCTTGTCAATGGCAATCTGACAGGTCTGTGATACAGGGATTAGACCACCGAGCCACATGTGCAGCCGTTCATTCAAGGACAGAGAATCAGCAAGATAATGACCGTCCACATGTCGCTCGTGTTGTTACAGATTTCCTAAGAAAGCAGACTATTCCTGTACTCCCCTGGCCAGCTGTTTTTACCGGACCCGTCCTCTTGGGAGGAAATGGAGCCAAGCCCAGAATCAGCCATTTACGTTAGCTGAATTGAGACAAGCGTTGGTTCAGACATGGAACAACATTCCCCAACCTTTCTTTAATCGTGTCGACTATGCGTCGTCTTTGTTAAGCCTGTATCAACGCCAATGGTGGATACACACGATACTGAATTTGTAACTTTTACACCACATCTCTTTAAGGGTGTGTTACAATGTCTAGTGTCAAATCTACATATTATCCAGTCACCAGTTAAACAGTGATCAATGAAAACACCACAAATCATGTTACCATCTCTTTGCATTAAAATGGCATAACATTAAATAATGCACAGTTACTTTATTCCAGTAGTATATGTTATGAGCTAAGACTCTACGTTATGGTGGTATTGGAATGTGTTCATACACAGAGTCTTGACATGAAACCATTACTGAACATAAACATCAGGATTATATTATTATATTGTCGTTATACACGGAAGCAATACATTGTGTATGTGAAATTGCATATATTCGTGTCGACAGTGTGGTTATAAGTGATGTCATCGGGTTATTTGGAAACAATCACCGCTATATGGGTGTCCGATGGTAGCATACAAAATAAGTTACACACCACATATAGGATGTACCTAGGAAAGGTTCTGCTCACTGCGGGCGTTTTCGAATGGACCAAGCAGACCCTAACAAATTCTACTAACTCAACCAGTATTATCAGCCACTAAAAGAGTTATCTATTAAACCTTTTTCGAGGATAGAGAATAAGTGGCTTTGAATACAATTGCTGGAATTAATGTATCAGCTGTTTATTTTAATGTCTCTATTTGCAGCTGCAACAAACCATTCCACCAGCTCCTTCCCGAGAATATTCACCATGTCAGTATCTGCCTGGAGAGCAGACAGAGCCTCGGGGAGAGAGGTTGGTAGAGTATTAGCTGCTGTGGTAGTTAGAAGATGGATCATTTGTGTCTAGGCATTCAGGAGGACAATCCAAGTTATTGAATACCCCGTCTAAACCTGCTGCTATCGTGGCAGCCATAGTCAGATATGGATTACTGCTGCCGCTTGGAATCCGGTTCTCGAAGTAGACGCCTATTTTATCAGTATCTGCTTTAACGCGGAAACATGAAAGACGATTTTCACACGCCCAGTTGATATTCCCTGGTCTCCTTGGACGGTGGAGTCGATCATAACAATTTACAGTCGGACACCAGAAGGCTGAAAGAGCCTTTGAGTGTTTTAGAAGTCCAGCAAGCCAACATCTTCCCAAATCTGATATACCATCGGGCTTGCTTGAATCACTGAAAATATTTTCACCACTTTCCACCGACAACACTGAATGATTATAATGCATTCCGACTTCACCCGTGTCTTGTCTTGAGTAAAAGCTTACTTCATAATCTGCATGCTTACTTGCAACTTGAAGGGCTCCACTTCGAAAGGTAAAAGCCTGGTCAGCAGCAGTGATGCCTTTGGATGCCTTTAAAACGCTTTCGTAGAGCCCTGCATCCAAATCTGAATGGAAGTTCTCAACATCAACATCTGCATCGCGCATGCCTTTATCTAAGGCAAAGAGAAATTCGCTGTGTTGAAAATGGTCCAAGTGATACATTTTATATTTCCCCGACGCAGGTAGGCCTTTATAATACAACATGTATTCCATCTCAAATCCTGATAACATTGCATACCCATTATCTGCCAATCGTTGAAGCTGTTTTTGAGCAGCATACCTCGGAAAAAGGGTAAGAGGTGTCTTGTCTTTCAACCAATACGCATCACAGATCACCTCAGCCACCTTGTACTGTTCACCTCCATCCCAGGAAATAGTCTTCATTGTGCTGAGGTCGGGAATTATTACAAATCCATAATCCCTTCGCAGTGCCACAGGAACGCCTGCAATATTTCCAGACAATGATGTTCTACTTCAATAAAGCTTTTCAAAACATTCATGGTTATGATTGTTATTGTTTGTTGTTTACCGCTACAGAATACCATGGGCCCCTCAATATTCCATCCTCGACAAGACAATCAGTTATCTGGGCTCGACGATAAGTTATACTGCTACTTAACAACATCATTGCATTAAGTCAAACTATGTCAAATTCAGTCGAAATTAAACACAACAGAAATCAAACAGCCCACCTCCAACTCACACAAACAACAAGACAAAAGAACAGGAAAGAAAACAACTAAACAAAAATAACTACACACATAAGAAGGAGATAAAGGGCGATAAACAACTTAACTAGGCAATGTATTTTATTCTGTTTATCGTATTATGCTAGCAACGTTTGAAATCAGTTCTTAGACCAGAAGCCGACTGAAAACAATTCGGACCCACAGCTTTGCCGGTCCTAATGGCCGACAACTTTTTCATCCCCAATAACCTTAAAGTAATATTTTTGAGAAAATAGCATTCAGTAATTTCTAGTTTAAATTTCTAAATTAAACTCTTAAACTCAGCTTGTTAGTTATATTTTTTGTTTGCTGGAAATTATATTGTAGCTAAAATATAGGGCCTACATATTTTGATCAGGACCCATGACTTTTTATGGTTCTGGGTTCTTAGGGCTTGCAGATTTTCAGGTTTAAGGGCAAACACTGTATGCCAGCTATATGATGGAGGTGTATAAATATGTCTGGAACTGGCAACAGGTCACAAACATCGATCCATGGAAGAATGATATTACTGACCTAACCAACGAGTCTCACCTACCAATCCTGCCGAGTACCCACATTCTTACAATTTCAACACAGAAAGGGAAACATTACAGATGACAAGACATACCTATTCCTACTGTGACTCCAGTTCTACAGGTGTGCTCGGCATGACGGGAATGAACAACTCTTCCTCTGGACTTTCCAGATATATCACAGATACTTAGTCGTAAATAGTCGAAGGAGACATTCACCTGAGACATAGTTCTGCAAAAAAACAATTGACCATTATTTGGATTTTTCGATTATTTCTAAACAATTTACCCAGAGAACTTTGTTATATTTCCATCCTGGGTTTGAACACAGTCGGATAATTCGCAGGGAAAAAAGATATTATACTGTCCATTGGTTCCTGTTGAGTGATGTGATCGCCGCCATTCGGCAGTCATTGCCGTTGTCAGCGTCGAAGCGTTAGCATATCAGACCCCGGAAACCAGGCTGTGTAGAGTGTGGCTTAACCAGCAATCAATTGTGAGTTAAAAAAGTAATGGTTACTACGAACCCTTCAGTATTCTGTACCGTGGTTATGGTGGTGTCGACTTATATCAGGAACAGAGAGTGAACAACGTACCTTCTAGAACGGTGCCGAAGATGGCTTACACTTGTCGTTCAGCTGATGAATTATGTAGGACATGTTCCGTTAATATACAACCTATTTAGATAAGAACATGTGACCAAATCAATTATAGCTTATTATTCTAAATGTATCATAACAAAAAGGAAAACTATGACAAATATTATCTCACATCCATTGATGACGGTAATGAAAACCAATTAACGACGACCCTGAACTGAGTGTGTTCTTGCAGCTACACAGCTGCTACTCTCCCCACTATCTGAGGGTCCTCAGCAAGTACGACCAAAAACACAGAACTGAACTACAGCTTGCTTCGCCTGATTACCACACCCATAAAGGCAAGGAGGTGTCCTCATTGTAACTCTGGACAACCTGGCCCTACATCTGTTAAAGTCCTGCAGCGGGACCCGAGTGCTCTCGAGCAGAGGGAACATGTGGTAATCCGTACTTGACATATGTGACGCTGGACGCAATGGACCCTGAGAGTCAAACTCTAGCTCTCTTTGGCGGACATGAAATTGACCTTGACAACAAGTCATTTGTCATCATCGTTGGGCATTTTCTTAGAGTCATCAGTTATTAACTCTTCCTTTCACCTCCTTACTTCACCTGAATAATTTTCCAACCTGCTTCATGTCCACGATTTTATTATCCTTTATTATATCTTCTATCAAGGAGGAATTAAAGACACTCACTCAGTTAAAATGTTCGCATCAATTTTGCGAGCACTTTACAACATAAACAAGTTGCACACGTTACAACAATCTAACGGCACAATCGCTCATCTGTTAAACAATCTATGAGCTGAAAGTTATTATTTAACGTCACATCGGCAATATTTCAGCCATATCGTGACGAGAACATAAGTGACATTGCAATGGAATATATGTATATCATAAAATCCTGTCGACGAAGGACAGTAAAACAACTAGAATATCACATTTACAAAAAAAACTTAGTGTGGAAAGTTAAAACTGATAGCACTATTTGGAGAATACGATATATAAACAGGCTATAGATCGCCAACAACTGAAGGTAGATCATCATGCTAGGGACCATGGGGACATATACAGTACCTTTGCTACCTGCATGGACTGTTGTCATCGGGTATTCAACAAGATGTAATTTGAAATTTAATGTTTCATGAACACTTTTTGAGTGATATCATGACAATATAACGCCATATACATTTACATTGTACCAAACCCATCAACAAAGGACAGTAAGATAACTAAATGGTCACAAATATATTTTTAAAAAGAATATGAACCAGATCCGGAGGGGTGCAACTGTGATATAGTGGTGTTACCCTCCGTAATTAACCACAGGCTCCGGGTTGTGATGTTTATATCTTTATTCCGTAGTGGATGAAGAAGAAGAAGACACTCTGTAACAGCAATAATTACACAATGTATGTGTATACGCTAAAAGCATAGGTGATGAACACATGCCTTCATATATAAAGGTATAAATATCTGATGAACGCATGTCTTCATATGTACACGTCTGAATAACATATGTCTTCATAAAGACTGAAGTAAACAATGTACCTGTCTCATATAATCTCACGCAGGTAATGAGCAAAAATAGCACATATACTATTAATTACAAGTGGCATTTCATGTCGCATATCATGAAACAGACTATAGGAACAGCAATGAAACCTACCCTGTGGGTGACACGGGAGTGTGTGCAAGCACCCAGCAGCCGAGCAGCCAACACGTGCAAAAACCCTACATTAATATGACACACAGATTAGAGACAATACATAAAATAATACAATTATACCAATATACACATATATACAATTATATACACATATATACATACTTGAAACTACCACTATGGAGTTACAAACAAGATATAGAATTGAAGAAATAGACCAATCTTACATCATACAGAGCATTCGTAAACGAATCTTTATTTATTTATTTTTTTTGCTTTGTAGTGGAGGCCATAGGCCCAGGCTACACTTCAGGATTTCAGAGCATTCGTAAACAAGAACTACAAGGCAGCATATTGATTAAACATATAGGGAAACCAACCATACACACATTCATACAGGTAAAATAGCATACAGTGCAAATCTACTGAACATCATTGAAAACGCACCAGTCTAAAATTGTCCATATTTTCATCAAGATGGATTTCAGCATGACAATGATCAATGAAGTGCATGAGATCCGATTCTCATTGCTTCACTAACGATTGTGAAACGAGGACAGAGATGTCGAGGTTAACATCTCGCGGAAGAGGACGTGCACTAGGCATGATTCAGGGTGGCACCAGCAGCAGGGATATTGCTCCACAACTTGGACTTGGCCACTCCACCATCGTTGGGCTTCATAGACGACATCAGTAGACAGGTAGCACCAGTGACCTTTAACGACCTTGGCAACGTGTCACGACCTCCCGTCAGGATCGCCATATTGACCTTGACCATATCCGTGATCAAACACTGCCGACTGCCAGGACGCTGCACTAGTTCAAGGTCGACGTGGGGTCATCAGCGCTGACACCATGCGACGCTGTCTACACGCTACAGGGCTCCATGCTCGACGTCCTTACGTTGGACTAATTCTGACTGACAGACACCATAATGACCGTATACAATGGGCTAAGGGGCATTTTCAGTAAAGTTTACAACAATGGCATGGTGTGGTAGTCACTGACGAGTCACTTCTTCACCTACGTAATGCTGACGTCCGATTACGTGTTTGGCGTAGACGTGGTAAACGTTATGCTGATGAGTGTGTGGTTCAGACAGACCGTTGGGTGGTGAGAGTGTCATGGTCTTGGGTGCAATAAGATATAATCAAAGAACTGACCCTAATGTCTGTCAAGGGAGAGTTAATATCTTTGCTACCGTGAGCAGATTCTTCAGAATCACATCGTATCATTCTTCAATCACCACCAAGATACCCATACTTTTCAACAGGACAACGCACGGGCACACACAGCTAGGCTTCCCATGCAGTATCTGGCCCAGCAACACATCCAGGGTATTCATTGGCCAGCACAGTCGCCAGATGTATCCCCCATGGGGCACTCGTGGGACGAAATTGGTCAAAGTCTTTCGGGGAAGACAGATGCGAAATATCCGGGAACTTGAGGCTGCACTACTGCAGAAGTGGAATGCCATCCTCAAGAACTCTATTCGGACGCTTATTGACTCATTGAGGAGACGTTGCACTTCAGTGTGTCAATGGAAATGGCGGTTACACGCGATATTGACTTTTCGATTTGACCCCACATGTGTTTGATCCTTTCTGACTGTGGAACATTTCAATAAATGAGCGTCTTTCTGTGTTGTTGTTTTTGTCAGTCGTCAATCTGTTATTATCCACCTTAATATCAATTCCTTACACGTGCTTTTAGTAATCTGAACTTTTGTAAGTGGTGCGTTTTCAATGATGTTCAGTATATTTACATTTGATTTACATATTTATGTCTATCTTATAAAATTATTTATATTAGAGTTTAATTTGCTATGTATAACACAATTACACATGTATAATTACTTACCATTAACCAAAATTCAACCTTCTAAACAGTCCTCTTGACAGACAGTGTTGTGCAACTGATTAGTAGTAACATGGCGGTGAGAAGTATATTTGAAATTAGACCAATCAACTGAGAAGCTGAGCCTGGGCTACTGTTAAAACAACTAAAGACAATGACATAAAAGTAGATCGATCCAGATATCCTTAAATACAAAATAAAGCAGCCCTGTGACACAGAACTGAACAATTAAGGCCAAGACAAGATGCAGCTGGACTGACAACTAATTGCAACATCTATATAATGTATAGAGAAGTCGTCTGTCGGATCACCTGAAATAAGAATAAACTGAAAATGATTAGTTATAAATGTATGTACACAATATACAATCCCTTGATTCATCCCTGTTACAGAGCAACCGAAATTGTTCCGACATACTAGGAACATAACAACGGTAGCTGCACTTAATGCATGGTACGTACTCCAGCTGGATACATTGCAATTTTAGCCAGAATGAAAATGAGGAGGATTGTGGGAAATTACATATTCTTTGAAAGAAATGGAGTTGAAGGAGAATACTAACGTAATTGTTTTTGATATTTGGAAAAAACATCCTAAATGTCACCTTTCGTTCCTAACATTTCACAAAAAAAAATTAAATGCACAAAAAACGTACTCCAATTTCTTTCACCTATTACGGAAACATCCGACAGTTAATGAGCACAGTGGGTATCACGTGACATGACGCCATCTTGCTTGACAATATTCCCGTAAAGATAAATAAGAAGAATCAAGTGAAACGGAGCCGGAGGCACCGCTTGATGTCAACATAATTTTAAAAATAGACCAGATAATTTATAGGGATGGGTATCGCAGATAATTTTTATATTGTGATATATTGCGATGCGGAAGCATATATTGCGATAATTTTTTAACAAAAACTACTTATAATCGAGTTAACGCTTGATTATATAGCAAAAACACAACAAAATCACTATGATTGATTAACCTTTTATAAAAACTTTTAATCATGACAAAATAAAAATGTAAGTAACATTTGGCACTAATGAAACAGGGAAAAGAAAAAGAAAAAAACGGAAATATCCGAAGATTTCCGAGTGTTACGAAGTTTTCCGAATGCATGTCAAAATACCGATTTTCGATCAGCGTATCGCAATACGCATCGTTTTAATGTCTGAACCGGTAAATACCGGTAAACCGGTTATATTGCGCAGCCCTAATAATTTATCAGGAATATTATTTGTCAGTAAAATGTGATACAGTCCAACCAGCACACCCACCCCTATAAATATATGACCAATCCCACATTTTGTGATTGTGATTGCAGTTCATTTTGTGTAAAATGGCTGACTGCAGGGTGCCTGCAATTTTAAAAAAATGATTATGCTTCAGACGAGGGAAAATAGATATTATCTGCAATAAAAATTACACTGGAATTATTTGGTTGAAAAACAAATTAGGATCCTTGTACTCATTAATAACGTATGAAGTCTCCATGCAAGATCCTAGCCTGGTGGAGATCATATAAGCGACGCAGATAGGTTATTCCCCGAATTATAGGACAGTGTATATTTCCCTAGTTTTTGCTTATGTAAATAGTTATGGTGCTCGGTCATAAGCTTAGGATGACATCCTGTCAGCCAATGAAAATACAGAACTTTCAAGACACACCCTATCTTGACAAATAGCGAGGTTGATGCCGACATGTGTAATTGAACAAAATGGAAAACAATGAATGTAACATGTACTTCATGATTTACCGTTGTATTCTGCAATTTTTCAGATAGACTGCAGCATTGAGACCTCCAAACCGGAACGAAAGTTATAGCGAAACATTTTCAAGTTCATGTGAAATCATAGATACCAGTCGAACTGCCCCAGGTACAAAATGACCCAGCAAATTTGGTCATTGATCTTAATTTGGTCAAATGTATTTAAATATATTCAATATATACCATAAATGCATAGTTTTGGTCAAAATTGATATTATTTACTTCATATAAAGTTATTAGGAAGTAATATTTCTGATAAATGTTCCATTAGTAAACCCATAATTGTACATATAACTTATACATGAAGAACGTAATATCAAAGTTGACAAAACCATGCATTTATGGCATATATTTAATCAATTTAAATTAATTTTGGCATTTTGACTACCTCCCTGGGGCAATTTGACTAAAAATCCGGGGCAATTTGACAAAATTTGCTGTGGCATTTTGTAGTTTGGGCAATTCGACTGGTACCCTATTTATCACATCGGACTTGTTTTAATCTATGTTAAAAATACCACTGACAGTAAGTTTCAACATGTAAAGATGCAGTATAAATGAATCTCGTGGGTTCTACTTCTTTTTCAGCCTAGCTTTCGGATTTTCATACCCAACGTATGCATGTCTCTGTCCAGGGATAATCTATTCTCCCTGCTCTGTGATATGTGCCCGACTCGAAATGATCGGAACAATTTTCCTGCATAAATCTGTGTTTTTACTTGGAAAAAAGAAAAATGGTGGCTCTTTCCATAGTTACTACCATAGCTCTTTTGTTTGTATTTAGATATATTTTATTCTCATGAAAAGGAATGAACCCATTTAATCATAACTTAGAAATCCCTTTTCAATAGTTTCAGATGAATGTTTATTTTCAATAAATATATCTAGTGACAGAAAGGAAACGTATACACATTAACATTGCTGACTCAAACCGTGTTTTCCCCTTATAAATGCATGTACTTAAATTCTTTATGTCTACTGTTGCCACCGCTGCTAGAATATTGAAAATCAATAGACATATTGACTTACAACGAATCACTGAAGTGAGAAAACGACGAAAGTAACACCGAATGCAAAATCTGTTGTGAAGTGAAATCGTTAATGACATAATGAAAACATAATTGGGTGTCTTTGTCTTTAGTTTATATCTGAACACATTTAACCATAATTTTAAAAATAACTCCCTTTCCAGTAGTTTCACATCAAAGTTTATTTTCAATAAATATATCTAACGATAGAAAGGAAACGTATACACATTAACACTGCTCACTCACGTGTTGTTTTCATTATATATGCATGTACACTCCTAACATTCTTGTCCACATGTCTGCGTTGCCATATAGCAGCACAACCCATTTTCGGAATTACAAGCAGAGTGTACATTAATTCTTAAGCAGAGTGTACATTAATTCTTTCTAGCTGATTTAAAAATGGATATTCAATAAATAAATGATACGAATTTTCACATAGTGCGTCACATCGGCATTTGAATCCTTGTTTATACTTTTTGGAATAAATCATGTTTTAATTCACTGTCACCATGTCTTTATTTTTCATTTAATGTTGATTTTCTGACTCTATGTGAGAAATATTGTGGAACTGTAGATTTGTGAGTTCTTTGACCGGATATGAATCTGGATGAGGCTTCAGTACTCCTTTGTCAGAATGGCCAATTTAGTCCAACAGAGAGGATGCTATAGAATGGGATTCAGATACATATATGGTATGATCAGTTCTAAGTCTGTATGCTATGATGGTATTGTCGTTTGCTTATACAAAATGGTTTATGGATAGTCTACATATGGAAACTATGACGGAATTATATGACTATTGTCTTTATCCAGGTAAGCCATACTTTGTTTGTGTGGAATTGTATATATTCGTGTCGACAGCTTTCTAATTATACTGCAGTGTTGTTGTTAGTGATGTCATCAGGCTATTTGGAAACAGATACGTCAAATGGGGGTCCGATGTTTAGCATGCGAATGTACAACACAGGTTACACACAACATATAGGATGTACATAGGAAAGGCTCTCCTTACTGTGGACTTTACAGAATAAACCAAGCAGACCCTAACAAATTATCGTAACTCAACTAATATTGTCTGCCACTAAAACAGTTATCTATTATATTAGGGAATAGGTGGCTTGGAATACATTCGCTGGAAGTAATGTATCAGCTGTTTAATTCAATGTGCCTATTTGCAGCTGCAACAAACCATTCCACCAGCTCCTTCCCGAGAATATTCACCATGTCAGTATCTGCCTGGAGAGCAGACAGAGATTCGAGGAGACACGTGGGTAGAGTATTAGCTGCTGTGGAGTAAGAAGATGGATCTTCTGTGTCTGGGCATTCAGGTGGACAATCCAAGTTATTGAATACCCCGTCTAAACCTGCTGCTATCGTGGCAGCCATAGTCAGATATGGATTGCTGTTGCCACTTGGAATCCGGTTCTCAAAGTAGACCCCTATTGTATCAGTATCTGCTTTAACGCGGAAACATGAAAGACGATTTTCACACGCCCAGTTGATATTCCCTGGTCTCCTTGGGCGGTGGAGTCGATCATAACAATATACAGTCGGACACCAGAAGGCTGAAAGAGCCCTCGAGTGTTTCAGAAGTCCAGCGAGCCAACATCTTCCCAAGTCTGATATACCTTCAGGCTTGCTTGAATCACTGAATATATTTTCACCACTTTCCATCGACAACACTGAATGATTGTAATGCATTCCGACTTCACCCGTTTCTTGTCTTGAGTTAAAGCTTACTTCATAATCTGCATGCTTACTTGCAACTTGAAGGGCTCCACTTCGAAAAGTAAAAGCCTGGTCAGCAGCAGTGATGCCTTTGGATGCCTTCAAAACGCTTTCGTAGAGCCCAGCGTCCCACTCTGTATGGAAGTTCTCTACATCAACACCTGTATTACGCATACCTTTGTCTAAGGCATAGAGAAAATCGCTGTGTGTAAAATGGTCCATGTGATGCATTCGGGATTTCCCCGACGCAGGTAGGCCTTTATAATACAACATGTATTCCATCTCAAATCCTGATAACATTGCATACCCATTGTCTGCCAATCGTTGAAGCTGTTGTTGAGCAGCATACCTCGGGAAAAAGGTAACAGGTGTCTTGTCTTTCAACCAATACGCATCACATATGACCTCGGCCACCTTGTACTGTTCACCTCCATCCCAGGAAATAGTCTTCATTGTGCTGAGGTCGGGAATTATTACAAAGCCATAGCCCTTTTGAAGTGCCCTTGGAACGCCTGCAATATTTATAGACATTGATGATTTTACTGATGATTATGTTTGTTTTAATACAGCTTTTTCAAACATTCATGTTATGGTGAGGTGAAATGGGGTTTAACATAGCACTTAAGAACATTTAGCTCATATGACAACGTGCATGCGTATGTATGTTTTGCTGCTTGTACTAGCCCAGACTTAAGCTGGTTTTATAGTGTTAGCTCACTGAGATACCATGCCGCAGTTAAACATGAATACCCCACTCAGACACATTATACTGATTCTGAGCCGGCCAGTCCTTGATGTACCCATTAATGCCGAGCGCCAGGCAGGGACCAACAAGTACCCTATTTTAACGTCTTTTGGTATGATGCGGCCGGGGATCGAACCCACGAACTTCCGCTCTCCGGGCGAACGCTCTAACCACTACACAACGGAGGCGGTTTTCATGATTATGATTCTTAGTGTTTGTTGTTTACCACCACAGAATATCACTGTAAAAAGTCCAGGCTCGACGATCAGTTATTCTGCAACTTAAAACTGTATTCCTGTCATTTTAACAAAGCAAAAAGGGATGTTTTGCTTTCGTGTGGATAACACAGTTATATTTTACAAGGGAGCTTTCATTCGTGGGGTTAACAGTATAAAAGTTGGAAAAAGGACTTGCGCAAATACAGGAAAATAAACAAAACCATTGCATTAATGTCAAATTCAGCCGAGATGAAAAACAACAGAAATCAAACAACCCATCTCTTCTGCTCAAACGAAAACAAAACAAAGAGAACAAGGAAGAAAACAACATAAAACAACGAAAGAAAAATATAACCACATATATACAAATGAACTTAAGTAAGATAAACAACTTCACTAACAATGTATTTTTCTTCTCTTTAACGTAATATTCTAGCTATATGATGGAGGTGTATAGATAGGTCTGGAACTGGCAACACGTCAACTAGCAACCTCACCTCCCAATCCAATTAGTTTAGCTGCGCTATGCCGAGTGCCCACATTCTTACAATTTCAACACAGAAAGGGAAACATTACAGATGACAACACATACCTATTCCTACTGTGACTCCAGTTCTACAGGTGTGTTCGGCATGGTGGCTAGGAACAATTCTTCCTTTTGACTTACCATACATATCACAGACAGTTAGTCGTAAATAGTCGAAGGAGACTTTCATCTGCGACATAATTCTGCAAATAAATTAACTATTATTTGTACTCATTGATTATTTCTGAACAATTTACCCATGAAACATTGCGATTGCTTGTTGTCAATCGTGGGTTTGAACACAGTCAGATAATATAATTCGCCGGGCAGTTGATCTTATACTTCTCCATCGATTCCTATGGAGTTATGGAGACAAATCTCTGGCAGATTAAAATCCTATGTATACAACTGCCTCTGTGAACTGGGTATTAATGGAAAAGGTCGTTGGTTCGTTCAGCTGTCCGAGTCCTACCGAAAATAAGGTGTTTATGTAAACATGCCTGGCGATGACTGAAAAAGATGGCATTGAGTCAGAACAATGTGTCTGAATTGCATATCTATGTTGAACGGACGCGTGCAGTCACAGCTGCTTAGCACAATAAAACCTAATCAGGAAGATATTTGAACTTATTGGCATGATTCTACATTTTTGCCTGTACATAAAGCTGGACGAGGTCACATTGGTCCTAAGTAACATTACGGAGCAATTTCATCGTCCTGTAGTGTTCACAAGAGCACGGAAAGCCTAATTTAAAAGGTACCAGTCTCTGTGTATGTTTGTAAGTACAGTGGATATCAGGATATCGCCTCTTCCCCCCACCACCCTAACCCCCACCATCATCCTACTCACAAACAAATTATCATTATAGTTGATTTTTGCTTTTGATGATTTCGTACGTTTAGAACCCTTCGTTAGTCAAGTAAACAGTATTACATGGTGATGGCAAGGTTGTAAGCGCTACTGTCATTGGATTCCATGCTAGGGGAACCGCTCCCGTAGTTATTTCGTTTGCGGGACGGTTTCGTCTTTTTATGTGGCTTTGGGGCGACTGACAGGCCAGGGTTTGCGCGTCAGCTTTGATGATACATGTCATGTACCCCAGTCACGTAGTAGATGCTGATGTCCATTATGTTCAGAGCACCGTCATATGGGAACGACGTATTGTAGAGTGTGGCTTAAAAACAAACAATGGTGAGTTGAAAAATAAAGGTTACTACGAACCCTTCAGTTATGGTGGTGTCGATTTGTATCAGGAACAGATAGTGGACAGCCTACCTTCTCGGTCGGTGCAGAAAGCTGGATTACAACTGGTCGCTCAGCTGATGAATTATGACGGCACATGTTCCTTTAATACAAAACCTATTTAGACAAGAACACGTGACCAAAATAATTATAGCTTAATATTCTAAATGTATATTGAAAAAAAGGAAAATTATGACAAATATTATGTTACACGAATTGATGACGATAATGAAACCTAATCATGTCACAAAACAACTATTAACCAAATAACTATTCATACAAATGAGGGTTAAATTTTGCGAGGACTTTACTACATAAACAAGTTGCACATGTTACAACAATCAGCACAATCGCTCATCTGTCAAACACTAGTAGCTGAATAAGTGACATCTTGATGCAAAAATTGAGGCTTTCTGGTGTTATCGAGTATTTAACAATATGTGATTTAAAATGAAATGGTTCATAGGCACTATTTCAGCCATATAACGACAATACAACGCCATATACATTTACATTATATCAAACCCATCAACAAAGGACAGCTGGTATATTCGTTGGCATGTTCGATCCATAGCTTGACACTATCATTTCAAGATTTCCTGAGACTTTTAATGATAGTTTGTTTGCAATGTATAGTTTGTACGGTGGATTGGTATCTAGTTATAGGTTATACAAATTGGATTCGAACACTGTAGGTGGATTAAGATCAGTAATGTCGTCCGGTGTTAATTTGGTCGTTTTATATAAAAAAGTGTGTTTATTACACGGACTGCTCCACATGTCAAAGTGTCAAGATTGAAGTTTTCTCGCAGGTGGCATTGTTATTTTATACAGTTGTCCCAGATATGGCCACAATAATCAAAAGCTGGTAAAATATATTTTTCGTACATTGTTTCTAACTTTGTACGGTGTTTAGACGATATTAAAATTACGATAACAGTTAACCTTAGAGTTTATATTGGCAATATGAACGCCGCAGGAGCAATCGCTAAATAGAATATCCCCTTCGTATTGTCCATCAACAAAGGTGCACGCAAACTAACCCTAGTTGCGTCTCACGACAGGCATGTGATGGGGAAGACAGACTGAAACCCGGATTTTCACAGGTCTGTAAAGAAAGAGCACTTGTTGAATAGGATTCAGGTACAAGAGAGGTGTAGTCACAGTGTGTACCACTTTCTAACCAATCTTGGCAAACAGGAAACATCTCACCCATCATCATTACACTGGTGCGATAGTTCACTGAGACGTTCTTTCAAGAGTTCTGTAATGTCGATATGTGTGTTTTGTCTGGCAAAGTGGAATTAATCTGGGAGGTGAATGAGAAGGGCATTGTAGAAAAATCACGTTCTTCAATATTTTGGTTGGGGGTAACAAGTCCCACATCCTCCACCACTACAATTCTTGGATGTGGTAATGCTTCTGGACAGCACATTCAGCTATACTTTGTCTGGAATGGAAGGTTCTTGTGTGCTGATCTCATTGTGCTAGTACTACCATGTATGTTTCGGTGTTCAAAATGGTCAGGTATTCACCACTTACCTCAGAGCGATGCTTTTCAGTCAATTCTTCTGCTGATTTCAGTGCTGATTATTGGCTTGTGCTGATTATTGCTGACTATTGGCTTCCACAAAAATGGGAGGTTCACTCCCAAAAGACAGACCTCCCAAAAACAGACTCAATGAGTACACTAATTAGCTGAGCCATGCTGTCCACCCCTATGTAATTAATGAGCTCACACAGAGTCACTAACAACACATTCCTATCTCTCCTAGTTCACAAGTGAATACATTGTGAATATTATAGTCTTTAGTTCCACAAACTAAAGCTATAATTACCATTTAGCTTATCATAACACATATCAATGCAAAGACTCTGTGACAAATCACAAAGACTCTGTCACAAATCATAAAGTTTCTGTCGCAAAATCACAAAGACTCCACCCTCACTGTAACCAAGTTTCCTACCAGTGCCACTGATGATGTTGAAGTGACTTTCTAATAAGTGTTCTCTGTGAACTGACAAACATGTGATGTAAAATAATATGGTGCCTGGTCTCATATGCTTGATAGGTAGATGTATATAAATGATTATTTTTGATAATATTCACAAGTAAATGTGAAAATATATGTTGATGTACATGTATATGTTGATGCAATGCGTCTTGTGAATAATCATAGTTCATTACATGAATTAATAAAACTATAGTTAATACATAATGTTTGTTTTTTATATGGGCACATACCATTATTATCAAGGGTACAGCTTAATTAAGCCTTATGCAACCACCCATAAAATATGTTGTTTTAAGCAGTTTAATAATCATAGTTCATTACATATGAATTAATAAAACTATAGTTAATACATAATGTTGTCTTTTTTATATGGGCACATACCATTATTATCAAGGGTACAGCTTAATTAAGCCTTATGCAACCACCCATAAAATATGTTGTTTTTATGCACTCTGTCTTTTGGGAGGTCTGTCTTATGGGAAGATACCAAATGGGAACCGTGCTAATTTGCACGTATTAGAGGGGTACACAAAGTCCGTGGTCAAGACTACCAGTTGTCCGACTTCTATTTTTGTGGAAGCCGCGGCGGCTGACTGAGTTAGCCTCACTTTGTGTGCTGGCGATTCCGTGCCTGACTCTGAGGGTGTGGGTTCGTATCCCGGATAGGACTCAACCCAACAAAAGTACTAGAATCTGTACTGAACTATATCTGTCCGCAATATAACATGTGTTACATCCCATTGGCGTCTAAAGCGGCAGAGAATATTATACAGAAAAACGTGTATTTTGAATCCAATATCTAAGCGATATGACTTCAGCCTGTAAGTAACGGAGTCTAAAGCAAACCATCCAGTAACCATGTTTGCAGATTCGGGTTACATTCAAATGCCATGAGCCAGGTGACACGAAATATTGGCCTCTTCGGACGAGTTGCTCGTTACCAATTGTAGCCCAAGCTTCTAAAACCATATTGAATATTTCTGAAACTGGAACCAGGACGTGTGTTCTTGATCTAAGGCGCCTTGTGCGGGGACAATCATTAACAGTATATGCCTGCAGAAACAAGTTTCAGAAGTCCGCAAATCACAGACTATGAATGTCATGGGTATCTCTGTCCGAGTTCAATTATTTGAGGTATGTCGTTAAAACTTTACGCTGTGGACGACACATTCTCAGTCTGATTGCATAAGAGCAATCACACTGCTACTAGAATATTGAAAAACAATAGAAATATTGGCTCACAACGAATCACTGAAGTGTGAAAATGACGAAAGTAACATCGAATGCAAAATCTGTTGTGAAGTGAAATCGTTAATGACACAATGAAAACATAATTGGGTGTCTTTGTCTTTAGCTTATATTTGAACACATTTAATCATAATTTAAAAATAACTCCCTTTCCAGTAGTTTCACATCAATGTTTATTTTCAATAAATATATCTAACGATAGAAAGGTAACGTATTCACATTAACACTGCTCACTCAAACCGTGTTGTTTTCATTATATACATGTACACTCCTAACATTCTTGTCCACATGTCTGCGTTGCCAAACAGCAGCACAAGCTATTTTCGTAATTAACAATAGAGTGTACATTAATTCGTTTCTAGCTGATTTAAAAAATTGACATTCAATAAATAAATGATAGGAATACACACATAGTGCGTCACATCGGCATTTGAATCCTTGTTTATACTTTTTGGAATAAATCATGTTTTAATTCACTGTCACCATGTCTTTATTTTTCATTTAATGTTGATTTTCTGACTCCATGTGAGAAATATTGTGGAACTGTAGATTTGTGAGTTCTTTGACCGGATATGAATCTGGATGAGGCTTCAGTACTCCTTTGTCAGAATGGCCAATTTAGTCCAACAGAGAGGATGCTATAGAATGGGATTCAGATACATATATGGTATGATCAGTTCTAAGCCTGTATGCTATGATGGTATTGTCGTTTGCTTATACAAAATGGTTTATGGATAGTCTACATATGGAAACTATGACGGAATTATATGACTATTGTCTTTAGACAAGTAAGCAATATATTGTTTGTGTGAAATTGTATATATTCGTGTCGACAGCTTTCTAATTATATTGCAGTGTTGTTGTTAGTGATGTCATCAGGCTATTTGGAAACAGATACGTCATATGGGGTCCGATGGTAGCATACGAATGTACAAGATAGGTTACACACCACATATAGGATGTACATAGGAAAGGCTCTCCTGACTGTGGACTTAATCGAATGAACCAACCAGACTGTAATAAATTATCTTAACTCAATCGATATTATCAGTTACTAAAACAGTTTTCCATTATACCTTTTACGAGAGTAGAGAATTAGTGGCTTGGAATACATTCGCTGGAAGTAATGTATCAGCTGCTTATTTCAATGTCTTTTTTTGCAACTGCAACAAACCAGTCCACCAGCTCCTTCCCGAGAATATTCACCATGTCAGTATCTGCCTGGAGAGCAGACAGAGCCTCGGGGAGAGAGGTTGGTAGAGTATTAGCTGCTGTGGAGTTAGAAGATGGATCATCTGGGTCTGGGCATTCAGGAGGACAATCCAAGTTATTGAATACCCCGTCTAAACCTGCTGCTATCGTGGCAGCCATAGTCAGATATGGATTGCTGCTGCCGCTTGGAATCCGGTTCTCAAAGTAGACCCCTATTTTATCAGTATCTGCTTTAACGCGGAAACATGAAAGACGATTTTCACACGCCCAGTTGATATTCCCTGGTCTCCTTGGACGATGGAGTCGATCATAACAATTTACAGTCGGACACCAGAAGGCTGAAAGGGCCCTTGAATGTTTCAGCAGACCTGCGAGCCAACATCTTCCCAAATCTGATATACCATCGGGCTTGCTTGAATCACTGAAAATATTTTCGCCACTTTCCATCGACAACACTGAATGATTATAATGCATTCCGACTTCACCCGATTTTTGTCTTGCTTTAAAGCTTACTCCATAATCTGCATGCTTACTTGCAACTTGAAGGGCTCCATTTCGAAAGGTAAAAGCCTGGTCAGCAGCAG